GGGACAAGGGGCCACTGTGGGAGGGGAGGGGGGGCAGGAGCCCTCTCCATCGCTGTGTGCCCCGCTGCTGCCAGCCAAGGGGTGAGGGCCACCGGGGCAGTTGGGGACGGGGGGACAGGGCTTCCTCCTCCTCTCATACCTCCAGGCACCTTCTGCAGGGCTAGCCCAAGCCCCGCGGGCAACGGGGAGGCTGGACAGCTCACCCTGCCCTGGCAACCTGCCGCCAGCTCTGGCACCGGGCTCCGCTCACTTATGGCTGGGCACCCATCTCCTCCAAGGCAATGGGACAGTGCTGAAGGGAAGGCTGGTGCTGCTCCCTGGCCAGGGTCTCCTGAGGAGCCAGAGGCTCTCGGGAGCAGTGGTCACAGGCAGACAAATGCCCAGATCCCAGGTGCCCCCAAGGTCCCTTTGGTGAGGGTCCAGATGCAGTTTGGAGAAGCAGGAGGGGGGTGACCCCCAGGGCCGGCTCCATGCTCCCTGCAGCACTGCTCTCCCTTCGGAAGGTGCTTCCCAAGCCCTGGGAAAAACACACCAGGAGCTCAGCTCCTCACAAACCATTTGGCATGGGAAAATCAGTTCACGGCTATTGGGGGAGAAGGGATCTGGGAGCAGCCCCTGCCCATGGGGACGGATCCGGCCCTTGCGTTGCTGTGCCCCTGGAAACGGAGGACACCAGCAGCATGTCCTAGGGCTGATGGGAATTAATGGGGAAGTCGGTCACCCCAGAGCAGGTATCCCTGACCCTGAAGTGCCCCAGGATTTCTCTGTACCATTGCAGAGAGCTCAGGATGGGACTGGGCATCTGCGGAGGGGCTGCGGGCGCGCTTGCTTGGGATGTCCTTGCAACCCTGGGTCTCCCCAGTAAAGGGATTGAAAGGGCTGGGGCTGCTCCCATCATGACGCTCGTCCTTGCAGCTGCTCTCTGGATCATTTCCAGACGAACAGCACTGAATTCACCGCGTTTGCCGGGGAATCCACCACGGCGTTTTGTAGAGGCTGCATGGTCCAACCTGGACTCCAGCTCCTCTCTCCTCGGGGGTCTCAGGATAAAGCAGGGCTTGGTTTTCCTACATTGTGGCCCCGGGGAGGCTGGGAGCAGGCTGCTGGGCTGCCTTGTACACCCTCCCCTCACTTGGGGGGGCCTAGGGGGGGCACAGGAGCGAAGAGTCCCTGGTGGCATGAGCGGTCAAGCAGAGTTTGATTTTTACGCTGTGAAAAATGGAAGCTGTGTTTCCCAGTGGCGACGGAGAGGAGGGATCCGGAGAGAGGCCATGCTGCATAGCTGGGATATCTGCCCGAACAAAGCCAGGTCTTTTTTCCCACCCTTGCTCTGAGTCCGAGTGGCGCCCAGAGCCCATGGACAGCAAACAGAGCAGCCCGGAGGGGAGCTCCCATGGGAGGAAGGGGCTGGACCCATCGGATAGGGAGGGGCTGGGCATCCTGCCCCCCCATCTGCGTCGCCTGCCCCAGCAGCACTTTAGGCTCCGTGCTGAGCGCCATCACCTCCTGTGGCCTGAAGGCTCTGGGACCCTGCAGGTCCGGCCACTTGCCCGAGGATGAGCCCCGGGGTGCCCCCAAGCTGTGCTTGCTTTGCGGTTTTCCGGGGCCCTTTGGCTGATGCCATCGATCCTGGCCCTGGCAGGATGTCTCCACACCGGGGCATCTCAGTTTGGCGGGGATTGGAAGCTTCCCCAGCAAAGCTTCAGGCTGCTCCTCCCCAGGAAAGGGAGAAGGGAAGTGCTGCCATTTCTGGTGCCTGATGAGGAGCCAATGCTCAACATGTCCAAAACTTTATTGCAGGGCAACCCAAAGCACCCCTGAAGTGTTCCACTGAGTGCAGCTGCTTTGCCTCTGGGATAGCAGCCAAGCGGATAAGGAGCTACCGCAGGACAGAGCCGCGCTGCACCAAGCAAGCCATCATGTAAGCACTGCGTGCCCCCGCCATGCCCCCACTGTGTGCCCACTGTGCCCCATCTGGCATTAAGCCAGTCCCACAACAGCAGCAAAGCAAACGCCCTCACCCCAGAGCTGGGAGCGATCCGGCAGCCAGGTGGGCGCGGGCTTTATTTGAGGAGTGGGTGGGGTTTGGGGTTTTTCCCCCCTCTTTAAAGACCAGCAGCGTCCAAGTGGGGTCCGGGGCCCAAACAGGGGCACAGGGACAGGGAGAGGGATGGACAGATGGACGTGCTGGCAGGATGGGGCGGTGGAAGGGCTCACGCAGAAGCAGGTCTTGTTGCTGAAAGCAGTCTCAGCCCCATGAGCTTGGCTGGATGAGGACAAAAGCTGCGTTTTTCTTTTTTTCCCCCAGAATCGTTGCTGGTTTTGACTCTCCCAGGGGGTGAGGCCCCATCAGAGCTGCTTTGCTGTGCCACAGGCCCGAGGGAGCCAGTGCTGCTGGCCCCACGCCTTCCCTGCCACGCTGCTCCCGAAACCTGGTGTTCCCCTTACGATTCCTTTTTATTTGCAGATTTACGACACTGAAGTCCCTGGAGATTTGTGCAGATCCAGAGGCAGACTGGGTGAAGGAGATCGTGGAGAAGCTGGACCAGAAAAAGGCAGCAGCCGCCCCGCGTCCCCATGACGCCAGCCCAGCCGTGGCGCCGGAGGAGCCTGGCCTTTTCCGGAAACGCGTTGGTCTTACAGCAATGGCTTTCACTCAAGCCGCCGCTCCGACTGGTTTCTTCCAAAGCACAACAGCTTTGGAGGGAAGGCATGTTCCTGCTGCCATGACGGAGGTGGCCAGCAGGTCCCCGCCAGCCCCGCAGGACACTACCCTGCTCCTTGCAGGATCGTCCCCCACCACTCGGGAAGCTGCTGCCTGGTCCGGAGTCACTCTGGGAGCAAACAGAGATTCCTTAAAATCTCCTGCCCCTCCCACAGCCTCTGCAGCTGGCGTGGGCTCCATCCCACCAGCCTCACGTCCCACAGCTCTTGTGCGTGGCTTTGGCAAGGCCGCAGGGTCCATGGAAGGGCCTGTAGGACCTGGCGCAAATGCTCTGGCTGATGTTCGAGGCACAGCTTCTCCCAGCTCTGATCCAGCCCCCACGGCCATCACCGAAGGACCAGACCATCCTACACCTTCTGTGAATGAATCCCCGGACCCTGCAGGTGCAAGGGCTGGTGCAGTGGGTGCCGCTTCCAGCAGCTGGGGCTCAGAGCTCCCCTCTGCCCCGGGCAGCATGGAGATGTCCACGGTCCCGGCCACCCCAGCTCCACCAGCGACTGCTCTGGTTCCTACCCCAAGCCCCACAACTTTTCATTATCCATCGCCCACGGGAAAGCGAGGTCCTTTGGCCACACTGGTTTTTGCTGGCCTAGCCTCCCCAAGCCAAGCCAGAGTGCAGCCAATGGCAGAAGGACCAAGCCGCCCACCCCTTCCCAGCCTCCTGCCTCAGTTCCCAGCGTATGTCGTCATCCCAGTTGCTGTGCTGGGCGGCCTGATGGCCTGCAGCATTGCTGTCGTGTGGCTGTATCTGAAATTCGGCGTCAAACCAGAGACAATGGCTAGAGAAATGGTACAGGGCCTGCTTTACCAGAAGAAGGGGCACCAGAACAACATCTACCCTGTGGACGCCCTCTGAAGGCTTCATGGCACGGGCCCTGCCTTGCTGCAGGAAAGCAAAGTTTGTGCTGAGCTGGGGACCAGGACAAAACCTTAAGGCAGGGAATAAAAACACTGGAGAAAAGGAATCTATTCTGTGTTTTTACAGAGTAGAGCACCCAAAGGCATCTCTGCACCATCACTGGCCAGCAGTGGCGGTTTGCAGATGGATGAGAGGATGCTTTTTGTTCGGCCTGGCACTGTTCCCTGCAAAGGCCGTGGCTGTTCCCAAGCCGCTTGCTGGCTCCCAGCTGGCCACTGGGCAGCTGTGAATTCCCAAACCGGTCCTGGAGGACATTTCTGCCTTGCGTCATGGCCTGGCTAAGGAGCTGGCTGCTCGCCCGCGCTGCTGGGCTCAGGCGCAGCCACCCTGGGCTGTCCCGGCACCAAAGCCACGCCTTGAACTTGAACTCTGCCGCTGCTCTTGTTGCACTTCAGCTCGTGCCCCACCGGGCAGCCGGCTGGGTGCTGGCCCCCCTTGGGGGGATCGACCCCACCTTGCTCTTGTGGAGACGGCCGTGATGTTCTCATCATTTTTCCGCAGCCGCACAGGGGACCGAGGGCCCGACCTCGCCCTTGGAGGCACCGGCAGCCCACAGCCCAGCCAGCCCCCAGGCCCAGCCGCCCTTCTCTCTGAGCGCTGCAGGCATTGCTGCTCGCAGTCTTGGCCGGGGACCTGGCTCCTGGCAGATCGATGGCCCTGAAACCCTCTGGCCGGCTGCTGCACCCTGTGTCCTGTCACCTCCAGTGCCACGGCAGGACCACGCGGACGAGCCTTTCCGTGTGGGAGAACACCAGTGGGTGCCAAGGATTCTGCTGCTCCTGCAATATCTTGGAGGGGCTTTGCCGTTCCCTGCAGGCACAGAGCCCAGGGTGCGTTCTCCTGGAGGGGCTAAATCCCACGCCGGAGGCAGCCCACTAGGAGCCACCCCTGTCGTGCCCCCCTCCCACCTTCCCCCCAGGAATAAGCATGCTTGCCGACCCCCAAATCAATGCACAAAGCATTCCTGGCCCCACGCTGTGGCCGCATTTCAGTTTTTCTCTCTTTTTTGCTGCTCGCTGGTGGGGCAAGCACAGCCGTAGGACCTGGGCAGGTGAGAGTTTTAACCCAAGCTGGTTTTGATTTCTGTCCCCCAAGCCGTCACCGTGCGTGGCCGTGTCCCCCAGCCGTAGGCAGCTCCCAGAGGCTCCTTTGAAACACTCATGCCAGCGCGAGCGCTGCTCAAGCACCCAGGGCCCTCACCGACGTGGGGCTCTGCAGGCAGAACTGCGTACCAGGGGTCTGACCCCCCTCCCACTGATCCCGATGGGACAGATTCCGAAGCACAAATGTGGATGCAGGAAAAAGAAAGCCGAACCCACGCAACAAGTGGGGCGACCAAAGCAATGACGCCGGCCAGATGTGGGGTGGGACGGGGGAGGGGGGCCAGCTGGGCCCACCAGCTTGCCCCCTCCAGCCAAGGACCCTCAGTGCTGCGGTGTTTGGCTTCTGCCCTCCTTCACCCCCTTATTTCTGCGCTTTGTTGACTAGGGAGAGGGGAATCGGGGGCTCATCTTGGCCATCATGAACTCATTGTGATCAGGAATTGGGGGTGAGACACCTCCACGCACCCCCTGTGGCCATGGTTGATGTTACCCAGTGGCCAATGCCATGGCTGGGGTTTGTGGCCCGGGGTGGGGGGGATGCCATGCTGTTGTTTTTACATGAAACACCCAAAATGTCATTTTTTTTTTTTGTAAAGTCCCGTGGCCATTTGAATGCAGGCAGTGCCCCGGCCTTGCTCCTGGCGCGGTGCCGAGGCCTCTCCGGGGAGACCGGAGGATGCGGTGCCCTGGCCCTGTCCTCACTGGCCTCAGTGGCTTGTGCTCGCCTGTGGGAGATGGGTGGCTCTCGCCCAGGGCGGGGGACCCCGAAGCGCTGTAGGCAGGCTGGAGGTGACCGCCGGCATGGGGGGATGGAGCCTGCAGGTGTCACTGCTTCCCAGGGTGTAATGTGGTGTTTGCTGTCGACCGCAATAACCGTTACGCACGCCACTACGCTTGCGTCCCGCATCGGCACGAGCGTGTCTGCGCCTTTTTTAGCAGTCAAAGCAATAAAGTGCTCACGTAAAAACCCTGTGGCCTTGGGGGGTCCAGCCCAGGGCAGGGGGACCAAGGCCGGGCCCTGTGGGGGGGATGCAGTTGGTTGAGCACCGTGGGGGGAAGCCCAGCATCCAGGTGGTCCTCTAGTGGTGGGGCTGGCAGCACCTTTGGGTGCTCCTCCAGCATTGGGGAAGGCAGTGCCTTTGGGTGCTCCTCTGGCGTTGGGGAAGGCAGCGCCTTTGGGTGCTCTTCCAGCGCTGGGGAAGGCAGCTCAAGACAAGAGCCAGTGCCTGGGGCCTTGCCTGGAGGAGGAAGGAGCAGCAGGGTCTGGGACCAGCATCTCCCCTGGATCCCTCGTCCCAGCTGTGCCCCAGCTCCGTTCCACGGAGCCGCCCTGCTCCATGCTCGGGCACCGCCAGCATCTGGGGAGACCGCGAGGGCCACGGGAACTTCCCCTCCCTGACTCACCAGGTCAATGAGGTTGCTGGGGCACAAACAGCTCTGCCGGAAGAAACGCACTTTTGTTGTTTTTCCTTTTCTTTCTTGCTCCCTGGTACAGGGCAAGGGTGGGCAATGGGCAATGCGGGCTGCATAACCGGGTCAGCCCCGGCAGCCATGGTGTGTTTTGGACATGCACAGTCGGCGCCGGCACAGGGCCATTCAGGGGCTGCAGCTCCCGACCACCGGGGAGGCTTGGGGAAACCTGGTCCCTCCTGGTGGCACCAATCCAGCCTCGCCGCAGCTTCACTGTGACAGTGCAGGGGGAGACCTGGAGCAGGGGGTGCTCAGCAGGGCATGCTCCCGCGCTCCTCTGTCGGCTCCACAGGCTGCCTCGGGTGTCGAGTTTGGCCCAGGAGGTGTCTAATGCCACCTCCATCGTGCTCGGGTGGGACACGGCTCCCTTCTGCCCTGAGGTTCCCCCAGGAGACGGCCCCACTGTTGTGGCCCTTCCTGACCCACGTCCTTGGCCTCCAGCTTGGGGATGGCAGTGCTTTGGGTGCTCCTCCAGTGTTGGGGAAGGAGCACCCCTTCACCCTCCGCCAGTGCCAGCCCTCTTTGTTAGCCAGCCGGGCTGATGGGGGTTGTGAGAATGAGGCATCCCTGGGACCTCGCTCCGGCTTCACCTCTGCACCTTCACATCCCCGCAGGACCCCTCAGACAGGACCGTGTGGGCCCTGGGAGGCACAAATTGGCCTTGCTCACCCTGGCCAACCCCACCCGAGGGACACTCATCCCCCCCACCCCCACCCCCTGCCCAGGACCC